TGTCTGAGATCCCCTGAGAGGCAGCCAGGGAGGCTGGTGCCATCCAGGTAACTGTACCTGGGCTGAGCTCTCCTGCTGCTCCTGCACTCAACTTGCTCTTCTGGCCTTGTGCAATGCCCTGTCCATATGGACATCAGTTTCTCACACAACTCTGACCACTTTTCCTTTTGCTTTACTGAAGGAAATGAGAAATTCTGTGACCAGCAGAACTGAGGGGGTTTGTTGTCCCACGGTTTCCAGCTCCTTTCCAAAGAACAGCAGTAGCAGGTACTGGGGAAACTTGCACTTGTTCTGCTGCTCCTGGACTGGCAGGGACCAGGGGAGGAAATTCCTGAAATGCTGCCAGAAGAACCTTCATGCCAATCTGAAGTCAGCTTGAACATTATCAGCTTGAAGCACAGTGCAGTTCTGATGTTGTCACTGATCATGCTTGATGCCACTACCCCAAGTGCAGGGCCATCTAGAAGCAGTCACCACTCAGGCTTTATCAGGGTAGGTACCTTACACAGACCTGCCAGGTCTGAGCCTCAAAGCACTTGCATCTGGTCTGATCTAAGTCATAACAATCCATAGGGGTTGAACCCATGAATTAACCACTCCAGCTCTTTTCAGTCAGGTTGTGGCTTATTTGTTCCTTTTTGACATTTCAACCAATTATTATTTAACTGGGTTGATGAATATACTTGTCATGTCCCAGCTGTCTTGTCATGCTCATCTTTGGAAAAGTGTTTCGCTTGTTCCATTTCTTTCCCCTGAGCTGCTTAAGGGTGTTTTCCAAGGAAGATGAGCAGCAGATTAAGTGCTTGGATCCCTGGATTCGGGAATTTTGGGCAGGTCCCTGCAGCCACTAGATGGCACAGTGCAAGAGCAGCTGGAACAGCAACTTGACGTTTTCCTCCTGTCAATATGATGAAAGGATAAATAATATTAAATGTTTCTTTAATAGGAGAAAATGCCCAGCATCGGCAGTGGTGATTAAGTTCTATTAAACAGTTGTTATTTTGGACACCAGGTGATTAGTACATTCGAACCACTTCATTTCCAGACTTTGGCACCTTGGTCACTAATAACTCAAATCGTAAAGTTCAGTGAATCATGTTGTAAATAGTTTTATTGGTTCCATGTCTGCAAAAAAATGGAGGGTTGTGAAATTCTTTGATTGAAAGTTACAGGTTCCCCAGGTCCTGGTGTTTCTGTTTTCTGTTCTTGATTTGGCTGCTCATCC